TCCAAGCCTCAAACCACAACAGGTCAGTATTCATTTCTTTCAGTAAATTCTTAAGGAAGTTTTGTATAGAGGTAGGATTAAGCATAATATAAGTGTAACTTTTTCTAGAAGTAGTTACATCATTTTGCATTTTGAGTGTGAGAAGTTGCAATGAAAAGAAATAGCATATATATACATTTTGTTACTAAGTTTTCTCTGCAACATAAAGGAAGAGTAACATGCAAGCTTTGAAACAAGGAGTTTTTCTTTTCCCAGAACACTTAAGAACTGTGCATGGGATGAAAAGAGAAGCAGAAAATGTGCATTTCTGATTACTGGTGAAGGGAGGAATGAAACATGGTTGGCATAACCCAAGGTCACACTGATGGACAGTAGTGTGCTGGGGAAAGCAAAAACTATGTGAAAATTCAGTTACTGTTCTAACGGAGTAAACTGACATGAAGGTGCTTGTGTGTGAACATTACTCTGATTTTTTTTGCCTGGGTGAAATAACCTTTGGTTTGAAATAGTTTGCTTGCAAGAGTTCTGTTGTGTATGTAACCTTCCTTCTTTTATTGAAAAATGACTGGCTTTAGAGTGAAATTAAATATATGGCCAATGACTTGCTGGCAATCATGTAATAAAACAGAAGTAATTTGGAGGGAGAACTGACTGGAGCAGTGATTTGCCAGAACACTGGTTGCTCTACTCCACCTCCAAACAAAACAGCTGAGTAGTTGGGCAGTGCTAGGTCTTTGACAGTGTGACACTGCAGATTAGTGCCTGAAAGAATACAACATACAGACAATTTAATTGCATAATATGTAGACAGGAACATTTTAACAGCTCTTTTGCCTTCTTAGCATATCAAAAGACAAACCAGCCTTTGAACAGAAGTGAGGGATTTGGTTAGGCATCTGTTAAAGGAATGTTCAGAAAAAACTTTTCTGTTGATAAATTCCCTATTCTATTTTATACTTGTAGGTTCATTTTTTACTGCCCAGAGTTGCAGAAATAATGAAGAGGTGACACTTATACGTAAAGCTGATCTAGAGAACCACAACAAGGATGGAGGATTTTGGACAGTGATTGATGGGAAAGTGTACGATATAAAGGACTTTCAAACCCAGTCTTTAACTGGCAATAGCATACTTGGTGAGAATCAGTATCCAAATTAAAGACATGAATTACTTCTGTTTCCGAGCTAGAGGATCTAAGCAGTTTTTAAGATATTGTACTGACTACTTCATTCTTTCATTAGCTCAGTTTGCAGGTGAGGACCCAGTTGTGGCTTTGGAAGCCGCTTTGCAGTTTGAGGACACGCGGGAGTCAATGCATGCCTTCTGTGTCGGCCAGTACATGGAGGTAAAAATGTTATGCATTAATGGATACATATTTTCTAAAGTAAAGTACTGCTTTGCTTTCAGAATCCTTGTTGGAGCTCTGTTCTAGCTTTCAACTCTTTTTCTGTTAATTAGCCTGACCAGGAAGTGATTACAACACCAGATCTCAGTACTTTGTCATCACCTCTAATAGATACAGAAAGGAATTTGGGTCTTCTCCTTGGACTGCACGCTTCCTACCTGGCAATGAGCACACCACTTTCTCCTCTGGAAGTTGAATGTGCCAGTAAGCAGAACTTCATTATGAGCTCAAATAAGTGATAAGTACTTGTCAAAGCATGCAAGAAAAAGACACAGGCCAAATAAATCAACTGGAAATCTAGCACCTCTTTAGACTTGCTGTCTTCGGATGAAGTTCTTTACTCTTAACATTAATTATGACACTCATCAAGGCCAAATTATTTAGCAAGATTTAAATGGGGATTAGATAATTTTGAACAGTTAAATATACAGAATTTTGTAATGTGCACAATAGACTACTGGAAGAGAAAAAAAGACTGTATAGCACAGGTATCTCACTAATTCACGTTCAGTTAAGAGTGCCTGACATATCTGGCCTTTGATCTGTCTTGTTGGGTATCTTAGGCAGGTGAATAGAGGGTATAACTCAATATTAATCACATCCAAATAGCTAAGGTCCTGATAGGTGATGGCTACCGTGTTAGTTAATTATTTCTTAGTTGCAGAACCCTTCTGTGAAAAAGTTTCAGCAAGTGCAAGAGCTGCTAAACCTTGTTTGAAGCTTTCTATCCGAGGGAACTGTTGGGCCTTTGTAGCTTAATCTTTCATCAGAGTATATATTTGTGTTTTCTTTTCTTACTTTTTAGAGTGGTTGAAGTCATCTATCTTTTCTGGAGGCTTGCAAACTAGTCAGATTCATTACAGTTACAATGAAGAAAAAGATGAAGACCATTGCAGTTCACCTGGTAACACTACTCCAAATAAATCAAAACTTTATACACATCGATTAACTTTGAGTGACCATTCACAACCTTTTCTCCAAGCTATTGCAGATAATAACATTCAGGATCACACTGTGAAGGTAAGTCCTCGGTAGTTCTGTTCACAAAAGATGTTGCTGAAGTGTGACAGTGGTGGCCTGAAACAGTTTTGTTGGTGAAAATTCTTCAGAAGTTATAGCAAAACAATAGAAAAAGTGATTTCAGAGTTACCTTTTGTGAAAGAAATGGTTGAGTACTGCTAATAGATAAAACTTGTGTATTATAGGAATACAGTTCTTTTGGATTTTTGAGTGGGAGAACAAAAAAATTTAAATGCATTCTTACAAAAATATTAATAATGCATTACTTTCAATGTCAAGTTTTTGTAGTATTGCCAGACCCTGCTGACCTCTAACTGAACTAAGTTGGACTTTTCTTTGTCAAAGTGCAAACGTTTTGTGTGTCAAGTGCATGCATGCATTTGTCTTGAAGTCCCTTCATGCCTTGGGTTCAGGTTTCGTCTAGCTGTAGTCATGAATATTATGAAAACCGCTAAGATTTACATTGATCGCTGTCTTTTGTAATACCCTCAGATTTTCTAACCCTTTGAGTTCAGGTCCTTTGTCAAAAAACCCCAGATAAGTCCTTGAAACAGAGGCTAGCAATAATGGTGAGTCAGGAGAAGACAGTAAAAAATTATGTTAGTTGATCTGGCTATCTAAGGAAGAGGTGAAGGCAGTAGTATCTTTGTCCTTGAGCCACGTTGTTCTTCATACAAGAATGATACAGGGTATTTTTGGTAGTGCTGAATTGTAATTGCTGTGTATTAAATAGTGCATACTGTGTGTCCTATCTTGCTTCTCAATATTAGTTCAGATTGTGGAGGTTCTGTAGTGTTGTTTAAATACGGGTTGCAGTATTTTGGATCTTTTTGTTTTATTTGAAAATGAAGTTAAATAGAGGCTGTTGTGTGTTTTTATAGGACTTCCTGTGTCAAATAGAGAGATACTGTAAACAATGTCATTTAACAACACCGATCACATTCCCTCCTGAACATCCCGTGGAAGAAGTAGGACGTTTGTTATTATGTTGTCTTCTGAAGCATGAAGATTTGGGTAGGTAGGCTTGTGGTATAGCTGTCCTAGAATATGGTTTGGATCAGTTTAGTCTGCTATGGGTGATTTTGGAAATGCATATTCAGAGATTGTCTTTTCCCACCAAGGTCACGTAGCCCTGTCTCTTGTTCATCCTGGTACGCTGGGAGTTGACCAGGTAAAGCACAAAACCTTACCAAAATCTGTAGTGGATGTGTGCCGTGTTGTCTACCAAGCAAAATGTTCACTGATCAAGGTAAGCCTCTTATCTACTGAAGTTTAGATTGTTTTTCATCTGAATTGTTTTATTAGAGCTGTGTTTTGTTCATTTTATTGTATATTAAACAGTAACCTAATCTTTCAATGCCTTTTTTAGACCCATCAAGAACAAGGACGTTCTTACAAGGAAGTTTGTGCTCCCGTCATTGAGCGCTTGAGATTCTTATTCAATGAACTACGTCCTGCAGTTTGCAATGATCTCTCTATAATGTCTAAATTTAAACTTCTGAGTTCCTTGCCCCGATGGCGAAGGGTAGCTCAAAAAATAATCAGAGAAAAAAGGAAGAAAAGAGGTAAGGTATTGTTAACGTAGTTTCTTGGGAACAATGAAAATCAATCTCATTCCAAGGTTTGCTGCTGCGTATTTGAGGCCCTTGTTAACTAAAGCACCAGAGCCATTGGCTTTCTGCTGCATTTTCATTAACTTTTCTAAATCAGTAGCCACTTGTCAGTTCTTACAGCAAGAACAGGCAGACAAGAGAGTCCCGTTTAGGTGAGGCATACTTCTTTGTGTTGCAGCATATTAAAAATGATCAATCAATATCAGTCTCTCTGAACTGGTTTTAGTAAAGCTTAACTAGAAGTGACATCTTATTAAAAGTCATGTTTTATTAAAGCAGTGTAGTCTAATTTATTTCCAGTGAAACAGTTCTTTATGTGTTGAGCAAACACCAAAGTGCTTTTGAAGTTGATCTTCAAAGATAAAAGGATATTGAAGATACTACCAGAGCTAATTTGATAATAGTTGGGCATACGAGTTCACCAAGAGTACATTGCCATTTTATTACAGGCAGATGGTAAGCATTCTGTATGTGTAGGTTGTCATTTAACAGATTACATGAAAGAGTGATTTTATTTCTAGTGCCAAAAAAATCTGAATCTGCTGATGTGGAAGAATCCAAAATTGGAAATGAAGAAAGTGATTTAGAAGAGTCCTGTGTTGTACCCCACAGTCCTGTACCGATAGATAAAAGGCCCATACCAATCAAATCACCCAAGGTAGGATATCAGAGTTTTAATCAACCTTGTGAATAAAGATAACAATAGGAAAAAAAATATGAGCTAAAGCATCTTTGCTGTAACATAACTTCTACTATTCTGATAATGGTGTTTGGGATATATAATTAAGCACGGAGCATTGTTTTAGTGAAAGCTGGAATAATAATTGAAAACAAGGTTGTGTACTACGTATTTAAAATATGTAAAAATATCTTCTCTAATTTTTAGATTATAAGTAATCTTGGAAGTGTTCAGATAAAGCTTCATTTCAATATAAAAGGTAGTGACAGGTTACTTTGTACTTTTTTATTATTAATGTATTTTATGTAGCAATTTTAATCAAGATAGTGAGTTACAAATAATAGTAAACTCTTTTCTGGCTTTGAAGAAGTTTTGGGGTGTTTGTTTTATTCCCTCCTAGTATTTAAGATTTGGACATGATTTTACATGAAATAACTTATATTTTCAGCAATATAACTTTAAATTGTTCAAAATGTTTTAACACTCTACCTTCCTGTTTTGCAGGATAAGTGGCAGCCACTTTTGACTACAGTTGCAGGTGTTCACAAATACAAATGGCTGAAGCAAAATGTCCAAGGCTTGTATCCACAGTCTGCCCTCCTTAACACCATTGTTGAATTTGCACTTAAAGAAGAGCCAGTAGATGTAGAAAAAATGAGAAAGTGTTTATTAAAACAGGTAAAATGGATGAAAACGGGTTTGCGTGTTCTAGCGGTTTGCATAAGTATGACAGATTTTTTTTCCTCCCTTCTGCAGTTGGAAAGAGCAGAAGTTCGTCTGGAGGGAATAGATACTATCCTGAAATTGGCAGCCAAAAATTTCTTGCTCCCATCTGTGCAGTATGCTATGTTCTGTGGATGGCAGAGGCTTATTCCAGAAGGAGCCAATATAGGGTAAAACTTTTGGTTGCTTTTGCTTTCACAGTTCTTCAGCAAGAAAAAAAAACCCTTACTTTTTGTTCTTGTTTTTCTATGAAGGGAACCTCTTACTGACTGCTTGAAAGACGTTGATCTGATCCCACCATTTAACAGAATGCTGCTGGAAGTAACTTTTGGGAAGTTGTATGCGTGGGCTATCCAGAATGTCCGGAACATCTTGCTAGATGCTAATGCAAAATTTAAAGAACTAGGTGAATCTTTTTTTTTTTTTTTTTTTCTGGGGAGAAAATTCTTTAATATTGCTTTTTTTTTTTTTTAAAGTTCCTAATATTTGGGATCCTAAAATCAGTTCCCTTGATTTGTGCTGAGAATTACATTGACTTTCTGTTTGTCCATGTGTCATTCTATCTCCCCCACCCACCTTCCCCTACCACCCTTAACTCACTTTTCAGTGTTTAAGTGAGTGTTGCTGGTTTCCCAGCAATGGGTGACTGATTACCCATTAGTAATATTTTACAATCAAAATATAAATGACAAAAAGTTTCTTGGAACTTCAGCTTGTAAACTCTTAAAGACAAGCAAAGAATAAAAGATATTTTAAAACAGTCAAGCAAATGCATAAACTATTTTCTTGTAGCTCCCAAATGACAAATTGACTTTGTTATTTATATTATTTTTTAATTAGGTGTGCAGCCTGTTCCACTACAGACAATTACTAATGAGAATCCAGCAGGACCCAGTCTTGGAACTATTCCTCAAGCACGTTTCCTGCTGGTTATGCTCAACATGTTGACGCTGCAGCACGGGGCTAATACTTTGAGCCTTCTCCTTAATTCTGGCATGCTGGCATTGACACAAACAACACTGAGGCTGATAGGTACAAGATATTGCTTCTTGTGTGGAGGAGAGCATGTTTTATGAATCTGTGTTTTTTTAGCTGTTGGTGTACCTGACCTACAGAATAACTTAGCTGCTAAAAGGTAGTACTTAATGCTGTTTACTTTTACCCCTAATACACAATCCATATCTGTAAGCACAACTGAGAAGTTAGTCTGACTGTAGCCTTCATTCAGTCATGATTTTTCTCCTAAGCCTTTGCTCGGCCCATCCTTTGCTAGGATTTAGTAGTAGTGTAGTTTTAATAGAAAAATTATGAATAAATTAAAAATGGAAAATTTTAAATGAAAATATTAAAAACTGTTAACCTTACCTTACCTGCTTAATTTGTTCTAAGTATTAAAATCAGCCCCAGTCTGCATATTTCAGCTGGAAGCTTCATTTGTCTGTTTTGTTCTAAGGAGTTCTGTGGTGTTTTTTTGTCATGATTCAAATTCTGCTTTTTCTTTGCTATTATTTAAGAAAACCAACAAATATTTGTTCTTGTAACTTGTACTTAACTGGAGTACTTGTAAGGGTGTTTGGTGTGTGGTGTTTGGTGTGGTTGTTTTTTTTTTTTGTTGTTGTTGTTTTTTTGGTTTGTTTTGTTTTCTTTAATTCTGTTCGTCGAACCATTTATCCACTAGATTCATTGTTATAATGTGTCTATTACTTGTCACTTAATTTTGTTCAAAATTAGTTACATAAAGTCCTGTGCATTCAAAACCATTATATCCCAGTTTCCTAAAAGCTCATTTGACTCTGTCACTTGTTTACTGCTTTTATATTGCAAACCCTACATGCATTAAACTTTCAGTGTGACAAAGGTATGTATAAAAACTTGCAGCTGGTTTTAAATTTTCTCATGTTTTTCCCTCCTTAGGACCAAGTTCTGACAACATAGAAGAAGAGATGATTGCCTCTTCTCATGGAGCTTCTGCCACGGTCCTAGAAGAGTCAAGAAAGGAAACTACACCCGTTCAGCTCCCTGTTTCTGGACCAGAGCTGGCAGCCATGATGAAAATTGGTACCAGAGTGGTGAGAGGAGTAGACTGGAAATGGGGTGATCAGGTACAACTTCTTCATAAAGTTGCACTAAAGGGTGCATGAAAATCAAAGTGTCTATTCAGTGGGCTGTCTGTGAATTTTATGTTCAAGCTTTAAAGATCACTTGACATTTCAAAGACTTTGAGAATTAACATGAAATATACTAATTATTTGTTTAACATCATTTTTGGAGATCCAGTTTCTTTTTTAGTGAGACTGTTCTGATTCATGATTTAACAGGAAATTGAAACACTTGTTTGTTACAGTATTTATGGACTTCCAACTAGGTGTGTATGGCACTGATGTACACAGCAAATAAGATATTAAGTGTGAGTGTTGCTGCAGTTTACTGGGATGATTTCTTTTAAAGACTATGAAATGCTTTCCAACTTTATGCTGGATTTTGAAACATCATTGAATGTTTACTTAATAAGTTTTGTAGTGAACGAGAAATTGAATTGTTATTTTATGAAGGTTGGATACAAATTATTGTTGCTGATTGTGTAATTTGAGCCTCTCTCTTTTGTCAGGATGGACCCGCACCAGGTTTGGGTCGTGTAATTGGAGAACTGGGGGAAGATGGCTGGATTAGAGTGCAGTGGGACACAGGAAGTACAAATTCTTACAGAATGGGGAAGGAGGGAAAATATGATCTCAAACTAGCTGAGCCACCACCAGCAACACAGCCCACAACAGAGGAATCGGACACTGAGGATGATTCTGGTAAAAAAGCAATTTAAAATAAAATCGGAAGATGAGTTTTAGTTGAATTACAAAATTCATATAATAAGAAAAAGCTTCTTTGACAGGACTAAATGATTCATCAAAGAAGATTAATTTAATAGGTGTACATTTCTGATCACATTTTTTTTAAGATAGCTTTACTGTGAGAAAGGAGGATGGAAGGAATGGTGTCACATTTGTTGCATATTTGTGGGCCAAAAAAACCCAGTATTATCCAGTTGAAATAGTTACATTTACAGATACCAAAAGGCATACTTTTTTACATAATGTCAGTGCCATTCTGAAGTGTGTTTTTTATATGGCCTAACTGTACATCTGGTCATATTGCTTCCCTATTCTTGACATTGTATTTGGAATGTCTTTTGTGTACTGCTAGAGGATAACTTGAAAATACTTGCACAATGCCTGCTCTTGCAGTTGGAAGTAAGGAATCTTCTTCATGTCCAGTCATCTTAGAGAAAATATTTACAAGTGTCTCACATCATGTTTGTTTCAGAACTCTTTGAAATATGTTAACTCAGTATTCATAGACTCTTTTGCCTTTTGTGTCTCCCTTCAGAAGGAGAACAAGTTGAAAGGAATCTCCACCCTACTTCCATGATGTTGACAAGTACTGTGAACCTGTTGCAGACACTGTGTCTCTCTGCTGGCGTCCATGCTGAAGTCATGCAGAGTGATGCCACCAGGACTTTGTGTGGTCTGCTCCGTATGCTTGTGGAGAGTGGAACTATAGATAAATCTGGTATGTCACAGAGGAGCAGCCTGGTTCAGCTACGGTCTTCTGTTTTGTGGTTTCTTGTCTTGTAACTTTGTAGATCTTTTGTTACTAGCTTTTAGTCCTTTAAGACTAATGGCTGAGAAAATGAATTTTCAGAGCTTTTAAAATCTTAATTGTTTGCATAGAGAGCTTAAGTGATCTTGAGCATTCTTAAAACATAAGCAGTAAAAGCAGAAGTGCATGAGACATGGAGCATCAGGACGTGTATGGTAGTCATAGACAGTGAGTTTCTTAACAGTCTTTTTCTGCTTGGGGATAACAGTATGACTGAGTGTGTCATATTCATTTCCGTGGCTTCTTTGTAATTTCAGAAGTAATGCTGTTACCTACTTTGAAATGAGGAGACAGGATAAGGATGAGAATTATTTTAAAGGCTTGTTTAATAAGTTAATTACAGGCTCTAGAATTGAAGTTAATAGTTCGTGTAAAGTCAGTGGAGTAGTTCAGTGTTCTGCTTTGTCCAAAAAAACCCCATGTACTGTTAAGAGAATTACGTAGCTGGCAGAAAAGTCAACTGTTATATGTGTATATCTTTTTGTTTTTAGCTTCCTTGCCAAATAAATTAGTTTATAAAGAACAGCATAGGAGTTGGTGCACGTTGGGATTCATTCGAAGTATAGCTCTCATGCCTCAGATGTGCAGCACTCTTAGTACATCTCAGTGGATAACTTTGCTAATGAAAATTGTTGAGGGGCATGAATCTTTCACTGCTGCTTCACTACAGAGACAGGTAATGTGTGAATTTCCAAATTATTTTGATAGGCAATGAATTTAGTAGACTTTAGTAATCTTTTTTTTAAAAAAAAAAGTGTATTTCAAAACACAGATGGGAAATGTCCTTTAAGTTTTTAATTAACTGCAGAAAAGAAAATGTGTTGTCTTACATTTAGGATTCATGGTTTAAATACACATCTGTAAGTTTTTGAGCCTTAAGGGCAATATGGACTCCCTTGTTCTGTTGAAAGCCTGAAAGTTTTATACAGATGAGAGGCAAAAACAATGTTACAAAAATGTATTCCAGAAATTTCCATATAATATTTCCTAGAAGTTGAATAAAGAAAAGAATATCAAAAAGGTGTTTAGGAGAAATGTGCAATTTCATTTTAAAGTTATCAAGTTGTGTATTATCTACTGTCCTTTCCCCCATAGTAAACTGTTATTATTGTTTTAATTACAGTCTCTCTTAAGAAGCTGCATCTTTGCATCTTATTTTGGTATTGTAATTCTCTTGTCTCCTTTCCACCCTTTTTTTTTTTTTCTCCTTTCCTTAGCATCTTGTAGTGCCTTTGTCATGAGATTGAAAAGCAGCCTTATTACAGAATTACTCTTAGAAGTCCTAAGGCTTGGGGATTTAAGGATCTTTATCTTTTTCTTCATAAGACATGAGCATTTTTTAACCAAAGCCTTGTATCATAAAGGCCTATGTATTTTTGTGTGATCTTCCAGCAAATTGTTGGCAGTATTTTTAATATGATGAGACTTCTGTCATCATCCAGGACTTAGTGCATTAGAGTTGTCTGTGCTGTTCAGTGAATACTCAAGAGAAATGAGCGTTCCTCATGAAACAGTGTCTACAATAACAAGAAAAAGATGAGACCTTCAAGTTTATAGAAAAACGTGTTATTGACAGAGGTTTACAAGAAGAGAGATCTCTTCACTGTTATTGGTCACTTCTACTGTATTGGTCTTCTTGGGTAGAAGATGAGGAAGCTCAAAACGTGAAATACTCCTGTCCAGAACGTGCAACCTCATCTGCTCTTTGACACCGCGGCACTGTACCTTCTTTTGTTGCTTGTCAGTCCTGCACTGAGTGTCTAAGTTTAGAGATGCCAACTTGTTCCTTCTGTACTGTCAGAGGCCCTAGTTTCACAGTAACTGCTTTTGGATGTCACTGTGGTGGCTTTTTACCTTCTTGTGTAGTTCAGCTTTATATCTCATGATTTTTAATTATCATACCTTCATTGCAAAGCGCTTGGAAACTTTCATTCTGAAATACATCTTAGTACCAAGTTATGAGTCTTGAATCTGAACAAACCTTCCCATTCTCTATTCCTGTCTTTCCTATGTGTTTTGGTAATTTATGTTGTTTCTCACTGTGTGTTTGTCCCATGTCCTGAGTATTGAAGAGGTTGGATTCACTAATATAATGTGCCAATATAATTGTTACTGGCTTTGAACTGGCACTTCTTTTAAAATACTCCTTAGCAAACTGAACAGAAGATCAATAGCTCTGTAGTTTCCACAGCTGGATTATAGAAGCAACTACAAAGGAAGGATAACTTTTAAAATGCCTGTCCTCTGTACTTAGCTTGTTTGAGAATTTCTTTGGTATTAGGTGACTTAGAATGGAATAACGCTAGTTTTGTTTTCTTTCAGATCCTTGCTGTGCATTTGTTGAAAGCAGTACTTCCATCCTGGGATAAAAACGAAAGATCAAGAGACATGAAGTTTCTTGTGGAAAAACTGTTCGGATTTTTAGGCAGCCTGCTTAGTACTTGTTCTTCAGATATCCCACTACTCAGAGGTAGAGGAATTTTCCCTCAGTGACTTACTGTTCTGAATAGAAAATGTATATGTTAAATTGGTAACTGTTGTGCAATTGCTTTGTCTTTCCAGAATCAACTCTGAGAAGGAGAAAGGCCAGGCCCCAAGCATCTCTAACTGCCACTCACAGTAGTACTTTAGCAGAAGAGATAGTGGCACTGCTGAGGACACTCCATTCGCTCAGCCAGTGGAATGGACTCATAAACAAGTACATCAACTCTCAGCTAACCTCCATCACCCACATCTTTGCAGGAAAACAGTCAGAAGGGGTAGTTTCCACGTTTTAAAATAAGCTCATTTTTATAGCAATATTTGTTTTGAAATTATAAATATTGAATGTTTATAAACAATATTAAGCGTAATTATGAAACCATTTTTCTATGTATAAATATATGTATTTTTGTGTTGTAATTTTAAAATTGAACTATGTGTGATTAACTTTGTATTTTAAAGCAGATGGAAGTCTATGTTTTCTCCCTACAGTTAATTTTACTGTTGTTTGGCAGGCTGTGTTGGATGACTACTTTCCTGACCCTGAGAATCCCGAGGTGGGAGGCCTCATGGCAGTGTTAGCCGTGATTGGTGGCATAGACAGTCGCTTGAGGCTGGGTGGCCAAGTGGTTCACGACGAGTTTGGAGAAGGCACGGTGACACGCATCACGCCTAAAGGGAAGATCACCGTACAGTTCTACGACATGCGAACGTGTAGAGTGTGCCCTCTCAATCAGCTAAAACCAGTAAGTTCATTCTCTTGAGGCTTTAATGCAGTGAAGGGTGTGGTTGAAGACTCTTGTTATGGTGCAGAGAAAATACTTGTTCTTCATTGGGTAAATACATTGACGTTTAATGCGATGCTCTGAGTGCAGATCTAAGATGGTACTCATGCAAACCTCCACAGGGCCTTTCAAGCCTGTCCTCGTTTATTGAGGAGGTGAAAGGAGAAGGCATTTTCCAAAGTCATGACAGTGTGGTTCATACCCCGTACGTGAGATTAGCTTATTTCATAGAATCATAGAATGTCTGGGCTGGAAGGGACCTCCAAAGGTCATCTAGTCCAACCCCCCCACCATAAGCAGGGACATCTCCAACTAGATCAAGCTACTCAGAGCTTCATCTAACCTGATCTTGAATGTCCCCAGGGTTGGGGCTTCCACCACCTGTCTGGGCAACCTATTCCAGTGATCCATCACCCTCATATTGAAGATTTTTTTCTGAACGTCTAACCTAAATCTACCCTTTTCTAGCGTAAAGCCATTACCCTAGGTAATCACCATGGTTTTTTAATGGTTTTAATAGATTAAAGTTTAAATTATGTGACTTTAGAATGGAATAACACTAACTTTGTTTTCTTTAACACGTGAATTTATTTGTGTTTAACTTGGTTTGCTAATTTATGTAGAAACTCTTAGGTCTTTCACTTGAATCTGGATCTCAAGTTGAGTAATATGACTTTAGGGTAAGCACAGTCAGAGCTGGTGTGCTTCAGGGACTGCAGTTCTTGCTCTGACTCTGCCTTGCGTTTTCACCAGGTAGACCTGCAGTTGTGTGGTACGAATGCAAGCTCAGGATACGTAGGGAATAGAAATACTCTCTACACGTTCCTGCTTAAGAAAAATGAGTGCTACTTTCTCCTCTTCCGTTAATATTCATTGAAATTTGGAATAATTTTGTAAAATTTTGGAAAACAGTTATCTGATTTTTGTTTTGTTTTGTCTGGTTATTCCTCCAACTGTCTAGCTTCCAGTTGTGGCTTTTAATGTGAACAACTTGCCTTTCACTGAACCTATGCTATCCATTTGGGCTCAACTAGTAAATCTGGCTGGAAGTAAAATAGAAAAACAAAGAATGAAGTCTCCCACTCAGGGTCTTTCAGGTACAGTTGGAGTATTCCTGTTGTTCTTTTGTGGTGTTTTTAAATACATGGTTATGCTCTGGGAAAAATACTGCTAACAGCAAATGTACATAAGAAAAAGGATTTCCTGGAACCTTACCTTTTTTCTTGGTCAACATTGAGTAATATGCATTTATGAGACAAGTTTAACCAGCAAATAAATTACTCTGCACTGTAAGTGGAATGCTGGTTTTTACTTTGAGAAAACGTAAATAAGGTTTGGGGGTCGACTTCCTATATTGAATTGTTTCAAATATAGGATCCATGTAATTTTAACTGCACTTACTTTGCCATATCACAGCTCTATGATAGTCCAGGGTGTGAAAAGTAGAAAGTCAGTGGTTTTAATAGCATGGGTCATAGAATGTGTGCAGACTTTTTATCCAGGTGCTGTTCAGATTAGCTCCTATCATCATTTTCTCACAAGCTTTCATACAGTGAGCTAAGGTGTAAGCTGATTTTTTTGACTGAGTTTGTATGAATGATAGCCTTTCTCCTCTAATACAAGAGAATCCTCATGCTAATGCCTGCTTAATTTTTCTAATAGGTCAAGTGGATTTGGATCTGCTGCGATGCCAGCAATTAAAGCTGTACATTCTGAAAGCAGGCCGAGCTTTGCTTTCTCACCAGGATACATTAAGGCAGATCTTATCTCAGCCAGCTGTTCAGGAGTGTGCATTAAATCCTGCAGGTATTCTGATGTGCAACCTGAGTGTGCTGCTGTTTGTTTAGATGGTAGAGCATGTGACTATAATGCTTGCTAATGGCAGTTGGCATGTAGGAATTAGGTTTGCCCTCTCAAGACTAAACTGAAATTCAGAAATGTTTTAATCATATATTTTAAATGTGTTTTGATATTTTAACTTAGGTTTTGGAGACTAAGTAGGTCAAATATTTGAAGCTGGACATGTTTGAGTTAGTTAAATTTCTAAGTCTTCTATAGTTAGTAAGCTTTGTAAGTAATTGCAAAAAACCTTTTTTTTTTCTTCTGTTATAGAGCTTAAAGTTTGAGTTCTCAATTAGCTATTCCTTTTGCTTCAAATATTTAGGCATTTCCAGTGAAACAAGTACCAGGATACAGTGTCTTAAGCATAAATTTAAAGGGAGTTTTAGGAGTTGCAGTTGTAATAATTTCAGTTCATTCTCTATATACGATCTGTCTACATATAAAAATAAATAAAATAGCTCTGTCAGCTTACAGGGTAGCTGTTGATGCCCTTATAGTTTGTTAGTTCTTCAGAGATTTGTGAAGTGTCTAATGTCCTTTTAATAGATTGGTTTATTTGTATGTTTCTGAGGCTTTTTGTCAGTTGCCAAGTTTTAAGTCAGCAGAATCGTCAGAGTTTTTTCCCAGGAATGGAACATGGTTTTACTTGTACCATCAGTTTTAAGGAGGGGGAAAAAAAAGAAAAACAACAAACCAAACAAAACACCCAACTTCTGTTGTGGTGTTTTTGATGTGGTTTGCTTTTTTTCTCAGACCACAACAGAATATGTACATGAAGACTATTAACTGGTTTGTTACATTTTTTCAAATATGAGAACTTCCTTTTATTGGAGTTAAATGAAGAGTGATAAGACTTTCATGAGAGAGCCACAGTAAAGATCTAGAAAACTTGAATGTTTATGCCAGCAAGAATACAAAATCAAATCTAAAAGTTGCAGAATATTGAGCCAGTTGATTAAAAATATATACTTTATTGAAGGGGCAACGAATGCCTAGAGGGAACTATTCCCAAAAGGTGTTGTTAGAAGGGCAAATGACTCAATACAGAAAGTATGCACCAATGTTTTGGGGATCAGTGAGATTATTGGTTGTCTATGTTAAAGTGGTTTATCCTGGAAGGATATTTTATGATAATCTTTTTGTGAAAATGTAAACTCAGAAAGTAGTTGTGCAAATTTACTGTCTGCTGAGCAGTTTTTGCTAGACATATTTAATTTTAGTAAAACTATTGTTTCATTTTCAGATTTCTAACTTGTATTTTTTTGTATGAAGATTGTGGCATACATGGTTTAATCTTAACCACAGGATTCCTGTGGAGACGAAATATGAAATACCTAACAATATGCTTTATCAACCAGTAGGCCTCAGAATAAGTCTCCTGATTGCCTTATATTATATGTTTTTGGTAAAAACAATGTTTTTGTTTCAAGAGGATGGAGCGGTTGCCTCTCCTGACATAGGAGACATGTCTCCTGAAGGACCTCAGCCTCCCATGATTCTTTTACAGCAACTTTTGACAGCTGCTACGCAACCGTCACCTGTGAAAGCAATATTTGACAAGCAAGAGCTTGAGGTAGAGTCCGTGTTTTCTGCTAAGTAACCTCACAAATCAGTCTTTCTAATTCACATTTGTATTGAAACTAGGCTTAAAAAAAAGCGACACTGAACCCTTTTTGGCAAATAACCTTTAATTTCAGGCACACACACAACCCCCCCATATTAAATATGCTTGTTTTACTTGAACTGATATATTTGTTCTCACCTAGGCTGCTGCTTTGGCAGTATGCCAGTATTTGGCTGTAGAGTCTACACACCCTTCCACTCCAGTGTTTGAAGACTGCAGCTCCAGTGAGGCTACAACACCCATCACAGTGCAACATATTCGACCCACAAAAGTGAAGAAACGCAAACAGTCTCCAATTCCACCCCTCCCCATTGTAGTGCAACTTATGGAAATGGGATTTCCTAGGAAAAATATAGAATTTGCACTAAAATCTCTGTCTGGAACCTCTGGAAGTGCTTCTGGATTACCAGGTATTTAATTTAGTTAAGTTAATGACGTTAGAAGGAAAGTTGTGAGCAGATTAAATGCTGCTTACAAGGGAGCAATTGTTACTTCTCTTTTTGGATACTATCTTAAGAATGTTGGAGGACACCTTAGAGACAGGCTGATTTTGTCTTCTGTATTAGGAGTGGAAGCCTTGGTTGGCTGGTTGCTGGATCACCCCGATGTCCAAATTACGGATCTCTCTGATGTGGATACTGTTTCTGATGAATATTCAGATGAGGAAATAATAGAGGAGGTGGAAGAAGCTGAAGCTGCTTGCCCTGTGGTAAGTATCAGTGTACTAAAACCTAAGTCATGCAAGCTGGCTGCAAATCTTGTATTTCTTTCCTTTTATGAACTTGGTCAGAATACAGGGGTGCTCTGCTGTTCCAGTCTTTCATGACTGTAACGAGGACCCTGTTTGCTATATGTTTCTAAGGCATGTCATGGAAGAATTCAAGAATAATCAGTGGTTATGTATGAGTATCACAGGGGAAAAGTGGAATGCAGGTGGACATTTCAGTAATGGTAGCTATATATATCCTGATAGTTGGTATCAGTTTCATCTAAAATAGTCAATGCTATAGTGAAATATTTGTAGAGGACTTTTTTTTTTTTTTTTTTTAATTTAATTCCCCCCTGCTTCCCTTCCCTTGGTCTGAAAAGCAAATTTGTTAGCTACAAGGAGCAACTGAGGATTAGAGAACAAATGACAAAAAGATGTCAGTAAAATAACTTGACTTTTTTGCTTATGAAACCAATATTCACTTTTTGGTGATAAAGTAACCTTTACAATGCCTATTTGGTGTGATGGCTTTAATATGAATTTATATTAGTCTTCTGTTGACTTTCAAGAATGATTTCAGTAAGGATTTGCCAATAAAATGAAGTGGGTTCCAAATTTCTATTTACTTTTTAATGAGTTATGTTGAGTTTTATGGCACATGTGGGATTTTGCAACTGAAAGAAATGCCTCGTATTTTGAAGGACATTAACTTGATACTGAAGCCTGATATCTTCATCAGTATTGCAGTGAGAATCTGTGCTTTATGTTGGCTTGAATGAAAAAAAAGATGTAATGCTCAAAACAGAACAAAGTTTTCTGAAAGTTCTCATTACACATGGAGTGCAATAGTTGTCTTAAATTTTAAGTTAAAATCTTGAAAGGAATAATTTCTGATAACTAAAATCTTTTCTTTTTCATCAGCTAGTTTTTCCAAGAGAATACTTTAAATCCTATTGTACTATATAACATCAAAAAAAAAAATTAGTACTGTACTTCAGGTAGAAGTTTACTGTTCACCAGTGCTTTTTTTTTTTTTTTTTCTTTCCAAAAAAGTAGCCTAACAAGTGGAATGTGAATGTGTATCCAAAAGGCTAAGTAGATTACTCACAAATCCTGTTTGTTGTAATTTTCTTTGGCAAGCAGATTTCACAAAAGCAACTTTGCAGCTTGTTTCACACATTTGGAAAATTTGCAGCTACATTCCTTGGCAAGTCATTTTGGAAAGATCATAAATGTTAGTTTAGACCTATAGTGCATTGACCCGCTGAAGATTTTTCCCATTCTGGCATGCAACTTGGGTATTATGTGTTTGTTTTTGTTGGGTTTTCTTCAGTTTGTGCTAATAACTATTTATCTGAATTGAAAACACATTTTGTAACTGTTTAATGTTTATTTTGGATTTTTTTCTAGTCAAGTGGTGCTGTTGTAACAGAAAGCCAGACCTATAAGAAACGAGCTGATTTCTTAAGCAATGATGACTATGCTGTGTATGTGAGGGAGAATATTCAGGTAAGCATGATGATCAACAGCTACTTGCATCTGTTTTCCTTCTGGTACCAAATTCTTTGTGTGGCATTCTGTTGTCCTTTTTCCATAGGTGGGGATGATGGTTAGGTGCTGCAGAACCTATGAGGAAGTTTGTGAAGGAGACGTAGGCAAAGTTATTAAATTGGATCGAGATGGTTTGCATGACCTGAACGTACAGTGTGACTGGCAACAGAAGGGTGGCACTTACTGGGTCAGATATATCCATGTTGAGCTTTTAGGTAAGTTCACTGCTAACTGCCTTTTAGTAAAAAAAACCTAAATGTTACACTAAGGGAGATTTCTTTTTGGAGGGGAAGAACCACTCACCATGCATTTATTCTTGCAACTACCAGGATTCCCACCTCAGAGTTCTGCCTCTCATATCAAGATAGGAGATAAAGTGCGTGTGAAAAGCTCTGTTACCACACCCAAATACAAATGGGGATCAGTTACTCACCGAAGTGTGGGAGTTGTCAAAGGTAATGTATATTCAAAATGGGGCATGGGGGGGTAGTAAACTGGAAACCACACAGAATTTCTGCAGTCTTTAAGTAGAGAATCTAGACACACAGATAACGCTGTTTTGTGAAGTGTTGGGTCATGATCAGGGAGTGTAGAATACATTTGGTGTCTGTGAGAAATTTATGGATGTGTAGGCTGTGGCAGCCCGTTTTGCTGGTCTGTTCATCTGCGTTGGAGCCATTCCATTCACATACAGTATGGGTCTTTAAGAATCTGTGCAGATTCCTATTGTAGGTCTCATTAATGCTTTGGATGAACCTCAAATGGTTTCCCTTTAAGAAGCAAATCTAACTTGAAGACTTCTTAAGGAATTGAGAAGAAAGTGGAGTGCACTACTGTCAAACTAAGAAATGTTATAGAAGTAATCTGTGGGGCATAGGTTCTGTGAAGAGGTACAGATTTTGGTCATGCTGTATTTGTGCTTAGAAATACTGTTCACCCTTTGGGAACTGTTTAAAAAAAAAAATAAATCAGAGTAAAGGAATTTAACTAGAATAATATAATATATATGCTTAAAAAAAATCTTTAGAACACCCTTTGCCTCTGCCCATTCCAGGCTATCCGATACGGTTAACGCATAGTTCTGTTAAAATAGAAGATTACTTGAGAAAGTGACTTTCATTACATGTTTCTAGTCTGATGCTGCAGTGGACACTTCCTTCTTCATTTCATAGAGATCTGCAACGTGTATTTTTTGCATGTTTTTGTCACAGCTTTTAGTGCCAATGGAAAAGATGTCATTGTAGACTTTCCTCAGCAGTCTCATTGGACTGGCTTGTTGTCAGAAATGGAACTGGTCCCCAGCATTCATCCTGGAGTCACGTGAGTGATGTTTTACATTTTTTCTTAGTGTATAGAGGTTACCCTTTAGCCTCATTGTCTTGATTCTGCTCTCTTGACTTGTGTTACAATTAACTTGCACCATGAAAACTGCTGGAAGTGTATTTACTCATTGTTCTTTGTGAAATCAGGTGTGATGGCTGTCAGATGTTTCCTATCAATGGGCCTAGATTCAAATGCAGAAACTGTGATGATTTTGACTTTTGTGAAACCTGTTTTAAAACCAGGAAGCATAACACTCGACATACTTTTGGCAGAATAAATGAACCAGGTATGTTTCAGAATCTAAGTGTTTCTTGGATTAATTTAAAAAGCATTGAATTTGCTTTGAAAAAAAATACATTTCAGATCCTTAACAGAATGAAATTAGTGTTCAGACCGACCCTCTAGACAACAAAACATTTTTAACATAGAGCATTGCTACAATTGCATGTGGTGAACTACATCAAAACATGGACCCTTAAACTTTGTTGGTAGTGTTAAAACAGTTAAAATATGGCTGACAGTAACTCTGTATGTCTGAACGGTGTTTTCAGCTGTAAAAAGAGTAAAATATAACTCTTTAATCCTCTTGCCTTTGGCTGTCAGCCTAAATGCAGGTGAATGGAATCCTCATGCCAGCAGGTGCAGCTTGAAATAGCTAAGGTACCTTCTTTACAACTCAGCTGCCCTTCAGTAGTTTTGCGTATCAGTATGTGATGGCTGCTGCTTCCTTTCCTCCATGATGATGGAGACTCCAGGAAGGTGTGGTAGGAAAGTCAAGCCTTTTGAAAGACTCATAATCAGAATTTTTGGTTTCTAAGACAAGAATAGGTGCAGCCATTTCAACTCCAGAACTTTTGGGTTGTGTTATGCAAAACTTACTTCACACTAGCTTCTGTTTCTTTTACTCCTGTTTCTTTCCTCTACCTCTGTCGAAAATCAGTCAGATCCCTGGTATTTGCACAGTGATGCTGGCTTCTGGACTAACTCTCTTCGTATTTAAATGCAGCCAGCCTAATTGGTTTGGACAATGAACAAAACTGGTTCCCTACTAGAAATCATGAACACGCATTGCATGTGTATCTTACTTTGTCTAAAGGGCAAGAAAGACTTTACATTAATAAATCAGTTAATGTTGTGCAGCTAGTGTGGTGTGAATCTGTAATTCTTCCCCTTGCTCTGCATGGGGCTAGAGGAGTTACAATATTCTTTTATTCAGGCTTTCTAGAAGCTACAAAGATCAGTGAAGGAAAGCAGAAGTGGGATTTTGCAGAGAGGAAATCCATCCACACCTCCCTAAACCATCTCATTCTTGAAGCAGATTCAGAATTTCTGGGTGTTTTAACTTAGCTATGTCTATTGCCCTGTGTGGGATTTTTGTTGACAATCGGTGGCATATTTTTCATATGCGGTGGTGGTTTACAAAATTCATGTGCTGTTGGGTTGTATTTTGAAGTATGTATCATAAATTTTGGGTTGTATTTCTAAAGGAAGGGCTATTTCAAGTAGCTAATAGTCAGGATTGTTAGTCTTTCAAGGTTTAAGTCTTTTGTCAGTTTAAGGATTGCACACCCCTGTAGATGTTTTGTCATTTCACTTTAGCAATTACTTTTAGTGTCTTACATTCCTCAAGAGAGTAATTTTCCTTATTTTTTTAATGTTTATTTTTTCCTAAATGATGCGTGTTTTATTGGTACAAATCAATCATAAGTGTAAGAATAGAAAGCGTGACTATCCCAAATGACAGACATGAAAACTTATATTCAGGTAAAGTGCTTGAAACTCCTTTTTAAAATAATGAATCTTGAGCTATGCCCTTGAAGTGTGAGTAGTGCTGCCATACATGTGTGACATCCTTCTGTACTGTACTTTTAGACTACATACCTGAGATCTTTGATTTGTTGGTATTTCCATTCACATTGCTTTTAGGTTTAATGAAAGCCACATTCTCTGAGAGCTCCGTGCTTAATGTTTCACTTAACCGTGCAGGTCAGTCCCCGGTGTTCTGTGGGCGTTCTGGAAAGCAGCTGAAGAGGCGGCATAGTAGCCAGCGGGGAATGTTACTGGATGATTGGTCAAGAATAGTTAAGAATTTGAACGTCTCGTCCTCTGTGAATCAGGCTTCACGTCTTATTGATGGCAGTGAGCAGTGTTGGCAGTCTTCTGGCTCACAAGGAAAGGTATAACTGGTTTATTTTGGCCAGAGAAAAAGCCAAAGCTGTTTTATTCTGACACACTTGGAATGGGCTGCTCAGGGAGATGATGGAGTCGTCATCCATGGAGGTGCTCAAAAAACGAGTAGATGTAGCGCTTGAGGAAGGTTGGACTTGATGGTCCTAGAGGTCCTTTCCAACCCTAGTGATTCTATGATTCTGTGATTCCTTAAGAGGAGAGGTATTTTCCTTAGTAATATGTTTGTTTGCTACCTTTGTGTGAGATAGAACAGTAGTAAAATCAGACAGCTGAAGTACAAAACTGTTTCTTCATAGGAAATGTGCCTATGTTTTTTTTAAAGCTGTGCTTCATCTTTCTAATTATTTCCTGTAAATTAGAAGGAATTTGTGTGATTTTTGAAATGCAGGGTAATTATTCTATTCTGAAGCTGGTTATATGATTATAATTGCCTTTTCAGTATAACAACTGATGACGATTGTTCTTATCAGTCACATTGACTATATTTTACTGGAGTGAATTTGTTGCAATACGAAGAGCACCTATGCTCTCACTAGCTAAAACTGCCTCCAAGAACTCCCTTATTTTCATAGAATCATAGAATACCTTGGGTTGGAAGGGACTCGTAAAGATCACTGAGACTAACTCCCTGCTCCGCACTGGGCTATCCACAGCTAAACCATGTGACTGAGAGTGTCATCCAGATGCTCCTTGAATGCTGAAAGTTTTGGTGCTGTGAGTACTTCCCTGGGGAGCCTGTTGCAGTGACTGACCACCCTTTCAGTGAAGAACCTTTTCGTAATGCCCTATCTGAGCTTCCCCTGGTGCAGCTTCATTCCATTTCCTTGTTGTCTTATCACTGATTACTAGCCACAGGAGATCAGCACCTCTCCCTCGACTGCCGCTCTCGAGGAAGCAGTAGATGGGAATGAGGTCTCCCCTCAGCCTTCTCTTCTCCAGGCTGAACAAACCAAGTGACCTTGTAAGCCTTGCTCTCAAGACTTTTCATGATCTTGGTCGCCCTCCTCTGGACACGCTCTTAATAGTTTGATCTCTTAATAGTTTTTAATAGATTAACTGAGTTTCTCAAAACTGCATGCAGTACTTGAGGTGGGGCCGCACCAGTGCAGTGTAGGGTGGACAGTCACATCCCTTGACTGGCTGGCTGTGCCGTGCTTGATGCACCCCAGGATGTGGTTGGCCCTTTTGGCTGCCAGGGCACAGTGTTGACTCATATGCAACTTGCCATCAGCCCAGCCCCCAAGGTCTCTTTCTGTCCACAGTCTCGTCCCCCAGTTTGTGCATATAATCAGGAATACACCATCCCAAGGTGCAGAATCTGACACTTGCTTGTGTTAGATTTCACACGGTTGGTGATTGCCCAGCTCTCTAGTCTATCCAGGTTTCTCTGTAAGGCCTCTCTACCCTTAAGGGAGTCCACAGCTGCCTCTGGTGTAATGTCATTGGCAAGCTTGCTTGATGTACACACTTGACTGCTGCATCCAGATCATTCACAATAAGCACTGCTCCTTAGTTTATGGTTTACCAGTTTCATTGGCCTGTAGCACTGCTCTTTGTCCAGCCCAGACACCAGGATTTGCAGCTAGGCTTCTGTCCAATGTGTTATGATGCTCTGTTGATGGCCATGCTGAGAATATCCACAAGTACCCTTCCTTCAGGCTGTCCTCAGACATTTACAAATAAAAAAATTTACATTATAGCCCATTTCTTGACTTTGAATGGTATTGTGCATTCTTAATCTTCTCATTGGTGTTGCTTGTGGGTGAAATAAATAATTTGTTGCAACTATTTCTCTTATGCTTGGAGGCTGGACAGGGGAGAAGTTCACAAAGTCATTTTCTTTCGGCCAGTTTCCATGTGCTGCAGCTGTTATGTACCATTCACAAATGTTTTTCATGCTTTCTTCAAATCCAGCACATATTTATTCTTGGTAACCCTATGGTGTTGCTAACAATGCTGTCTGAACATGAAATTTTGTGTTTCCCTTAGCACTGGATTCGCTTGGAGATTTTTCCAGATGTTCTTGTTCACAGACTAAAGATGGTAGTGGACCCTGCAGACAGCAGTTACATGCCCTCTTTAGTTGTAGTTTCAGGTACGTGTATATTCTCTGAGAAGTCTGAAAAATACATTTTTTTTTTTTTGTGCATTCAGCAGTAGATATTTATGCAGTTTGCATATGTTGTTAACATAGCCATCTATCTAATACATATAGTGCCTCTTTATGAAATAAACACTGTATCTGAAAATATTTTTATTTCCATGTTTTGTTCTCTAGGAGGGAATTCCTTAAATAACCTTATAGAGCTAAAGACAATCAATATAAATCCGACAGACACCACAGTGCCTCTTCTCAGTGATTGTACAGAGGTAAGTGAAGTTTGTGTGTGAGTTACTCCTGTGTGCAACAGAAAAATATTGTACTGCAAAAGGATGATAAAAAGTGCAGTTGAGATTATTAAAGCATGATATTTTACTTCTCCTCTAAATTAGCACTGTTTCTGGCAGTTTAGTAAATTATCTGGATAAGTTTTACCATAGTCACAGGGTGACTGTAATAGCCTTTGTAGTAAATATATTTTAGGTTTTTTGTTATAAATCAAAATACCTATGAACTAAGAAGACATCGGAATAAACTTAAATTTGGGGATAGTTTTGGTGGGTGATAAAGCTTATTTGGATAGTAGTTCAAATCTTTTTAGTAACAGCAAGGAGAAATGCATAATGAGTTTTTAGAAGTTTAGAAGCAAAGTAATTCTTAATGAGGCCATGAAGTATGAATTATGTAGGGCTGAAGAGCCAAATATTTAAAGTTAGGTTCATTTTTTTGAAGGTGAGGAAGTCAAGCAAAAGTTCTCACTCCTTCCCATGTTTTGTAATACTATATAGGACCCAAGAGATGGGAATTTAGTTTTCTTTACTTCTTAGTACCACAGGTATATTGAGATTGCAGTCAAGCAGTGCAGAAGCTCTGGGATTGATTGCAAAATACATGGCCTCAGCATACTGGGACGTATACGTGCAGAGGATGAAGATTTGGCTGCAGTCCCTTTCCTTGCTTCTGATAATGAGGAAGAGGATGATGATAAAGCAAACTCCGGGAGGTAGGTAACTGAAGGGATGGGGGGAAATGAGAAAGAACCTGAGTGCCTGTATACTCCTGTAATTCAGGAGATTGTTGTAATCAAACAGCAACTTAATTAGGTCAAATGGTAAAGAGAAATCAGTATCTTAATTCGTCAGAATTGTGAGTAGGTCATTTGTTGATAAGTAACTTCTTTAAGATTATCACACTGATAAGGTGATAAAAATTTGTAGAACTCTTCTGCTTTTGCAGTATAACTGGAGTTAAAATCCTAGCTAAAAACTTGGATGTGTTTATATTTGGTATGTGGCGTGTGTATATTTACCACTGCTCAGCAAAACATTTTGGGTTTTTGGGGGTTTTATTTGTTATAGCCACCAATTAACTGTGGTGATGTAGTTTGAGGACTGACACTGTTTAAAACAGTAAATACAGTAAAAAGGTGCCTATGCTATAAAATGCAGGTTGCTAAACTGACTTAGTCTTTTTTTTTTTCCCCTCAATGTGTTCAGTCTTGTTAGAAAGAAGGCAGCTGGGCTCGAATCGGCAGCTACAATAAGAACCAAAGTTTTTGTTTGGGGACTGAATGACAAAGACCAGCTGGGAGGGCTGAAAGGTTCCAAGGTATGTTTGTTGTTTTCATACTTAGGTGCAAAACAAAAACAACTAAAAATAAAATACACAAGTCTCACACAACTCAAAATTAATTCAAATGCAATCAGAATTTTACAGTTTATTGTTAAAACCTACTCCTTGTAGCTTTTTTTTGACAGGTTTTTATTGTCAAGACATGTAGATGTTTGCTAGGGGAACAAAAAAAAAATTCGGAAAATTTGCGTTTTGATTATTATTTTGAAATCCAGTTTGATTTTTATCAATCATGTTTTATATGATAGTGAATTGTTCTAAAAACGTGTAGCCCTCTGTTGAATTCTCATCTTTTCATTAGTGTAACTTGATTGTAATGCACTGTAATTTGAGAGGAATTTCAGCCTTGCATCCATCCATTCATACATAATTTTAAAAACAATGCAAGATGAGAGATACATAGTGAATGTTTAATTGATTTAAGATATCATTAATCTGAAAAGTATGTTAAGAGAGAATTTCTTTATGTTGTAAATATAATGTATACTATTATATCCACATAGTGACTTCCAGGAAGGAGAAAGTTAACTCTGTGTCTTCTTTAGTTTTCTCAAGAAAACTTTACTAAAAAGAAAGTCCTGGCTTATAGCACATTTCATTTCTTATTTTTTCTTCAAGTTTTGTGTTATCATGGTTTCAGCATTAAATACTTTTTCTTGGTTTCTGTCTATTGCCTGGTGTATGTGAACTGGTATGTGTCAAGTGTCTGAATTATACAAGTTTCATATATTTTTAAGAAACCCAAAAGCCCATGTTAGATTAAGTGGTTTATCACTTAAGAAACGCTTCTTTTTTGTGATGATTTTTATTTTGTGTCTGCTATAGATAAAGGTCCCTTCATTTTCTGAGACCCTGTCTGCTTTGAATGTTGTACAAGTAGCTGGAGGATCCAAAAGCCTTTTTGCAGGTAATACAAGTTTAAATACAATTATTTAAAGGCAGAAAAAATTTCCATCTTGTGAAACATTAATGATGTTTCAACTGCTTTTTCTCCATTTTAGTGACTGTAGAGGGTAAAGTATATGCCTGTGGAGAAGCCACAAATGGAAGACTGGGTTTAGGAATATCTAGTGGAACTGTGCCTATTCCCCGCCAGATTACAGCTCTCAGTAACTATGTGGTAAAGAAGGTGGCTGTTCACTCAGGTACTGACTATTGCTGTTCTCATGGACATAAACATAACCTAATAAACCTGGAAACAGTTGCTTTGCAATTTTCTTGGGTGCTGTGATGCCCCGGCATATCTGATATATTTCAAATATTTTAAAATAAAACCAGGTCATTTTCTCTTGGGGCATTGCAAATAGCAAATTGAGTCATGATTTCTTTTTTTTATGCAAGGAAACCCATTTTCATAAAAGCTTTTTGTTTTAAATTAAATCACATAAATCCTTAAGAAAATAAGTAATGTGTATTGCTTTGAAAGGCTCATACAGTTACATTGTAGAATTACAGCAGTATCAAATTCCTGAGATTTTAGATGGACCTCCTGCCTGCTTGAAAAATTTAAATTTATGTTTACATTTTTAGGTGGCCGGCATGCTATGGCATTAACTGTTGATGGGAAGGTATTTTCGTGGGGTGAAGGAGATGATGGAAAACTTGGTCACTTCAGCCGCATGTAAGGATGCCAAATTTGTCTGTATTTCCGTCATGCTGTTTCTGTTTAATTAGCATCAAATGTTATAACACAGCAGACCCCTACTGACAATGACAAGATGCTTAATACAATGGGAATTAAAAAATTGTGTTCTGAAAGGATTTTTTTTCTCCCCTCCCCCCCCTGGCAGTGTGTGTTGATTTATGGTGCAGGATTTGTAGCAATCTTCTGCCATTTAAAAAGGAGGCATTCAATTAATATAGTATTTGTAACAAACTTAATGGATAAAGTCTTTAATAGTATTTTTGAATGTCACTGATGAAATGATGCACTTTTGGACATAGTTTTTGGTTTCTTTTGTGAGGTGAGGTTTACAGAGGTGCCTTGAGGTGTAAAACCATAGCAGTTTTACACCCCTGAGCTGCAGCAGCTCGTAACATAAGCCTGACAGAGTATTTTGTAGCCCTTTTCTTTAGACTTGTGTTCACAAACTTGTTAGCCAGAAATCAATTTTTCACACTTTTTAGTAATATGTAGTTGAATCCTCCACAGGACAGCTTTGAGAAAAATTTGAATTGTCTCAGGATTGTTCTTTGTATGCACCACAGAAAAATGTTTTGAAAGAAAAAAAAAAAAAAAAACAAAACCAAAACCAACAAAATTATAGTCCAAGGGGAAATATTTGTTTGTAATTCTGATATATTTTGAATACCTTCTCAGAATACATAAAAAATTACAGTGCCCAACTCAGATGGTTAATATATGACAACATATAAATATTCACAGGAATATGGGTGTCAGATTAGAGCAGTATTGTTGTTTACTGTTCAACTGCTTCATGTTTGCTGTAATTTTATTAAAAGTGAGACTTGGAGCTCTCAGACAAGTTGTTCAAAGGCCATGTGTAATTACAGAAAAACCCTAATAGTGATTCTGATACACAGTCGATATTGGAAAAACTGGAGTAGAAACACTTCCCAGAATTTATAGAATATTGTAACCATATGAGTAGTAGAGGTTTCCAGTACTCTCACAGAAGTAAATTCCAGTTCCAATTTCTCTCTTGACAAGAGCACTGTTGGGATGGGAGTGTCATCTCTTAATCTTACTGCCTTGCTCTGTGTCAACAGATAACAAAGTGCTCAGCCTTAGACAATGACAGGATATCAGCTTTCACTTTGTATTACACAATTTTTAATTGATTCATCACCTAAGATTTTGCAGCTTATACCTATTTCTTTAAATTTAGACAATTTAGTTTTTTAGCGTCTTTCTCTAAATAAACTTTGAAGCACATTAAAATAGTGCAAGCTCTAGATTTATGGTGCTACTAAAGATTACACCTTGGAATCATCATGTGTCTTACTTTAGGTTACTCTTAATTACTGCCCAAAATTTTTTTGGGTTATGGAGATTGGAGAATATTTTGCAGCTCTTTCATAATTAACAGAATGAATTCTTTAATCATTTTCTCTAGGAACTGTGATAAACCCAGACTGATAGAAGCACTGAAAACCAAACGCATCCGTGACATTGCTTGCGGTAGTTCCCACAGTGCTGCCATTACCTCTAGTGGTGAACTCTATACGTGGGGTCTTGGAGAATATGGGAGGCTAGGACATGGAGATAATACCACACAGCTGAAGCCTAAGATGGTAAAATAAACATTTCTTGTCTCTGATGGTATGCAAAGTAAAAAAACATGAAAGCAGTATGAAGATAGGATTTTGGAGTGATCTAAATGAAGTTTTGGTAGACATACCTCTAATGACAGACAAGGTATTTCAGAAAGGTCAAAAAGATCCACTCTTTCTTTTTCTTGGGAAGTGATGTAAAATGGCTAGTGCTGTTTTTAACATTGATGTCCTGTAACTTGGATACATAGCTGGTGGAGGCTACTACCGTAATTGAGAGTTGTTGTTTCCCGAGTGAGCAAGGCTTGATAATCCTTTGGTAAATGATACGTTCAGGGTGGGCACAATGATCGAGATCAATCATAAAGAGTTTAAAAATGTCTGTAAGGCTTTAAAACATAACTTATTTGCAATGTCCTGTTTACTTTTTCTGTTTCATAGGTTAAAGTGCTTCTTGGCCACCGAGTCATTCAGGTTGCTTGTGGCAGCAGAGATGCTCAGACTCTTGCTTTGACAGATGAAGGTAGGAATGTCTTGTTCCAGAAGCTTTCTAGCACAAGGGAGTACTGTGATCACTGTTTGACTTGCAGTTTGTGTTTGCTAGGTTTGGTGTTTTCTTGGGGTGACGGTGATTTTGGAAAACTGGGCCGAGGAGGAAGTGAAGGTTGCAACATTCCTCAGAACATTGAGAGACTGAACGGCCAAGGCGTTTGTCAGATTGAGTGTGGTGCGCAGTTCTCCCTGGCACTGACCAAGTCAGGAGTGGTGTGGACATGGTATGCTACATTTGCCACCAAGTATTAATAAAGCAACTGCTAACTGTGTGCTGTATTTATTGCTGTTTGACTCTCTTAACGCCATCTGTGCTTTACCTGTGTGCTTTGTATTTTAAGTTGGCAGCTCTTTGAGACAAGCAGTGGTCTTTTCAGCTACTCCAGCTGTAACTCCTGCTGTCTCTTGTAGTGTGCTCAGTTGTGTATTGTACTCTGTTGAGATGCCTGGGTCTAACCGAACTGGTGGAGGGAGAGAAAGATCATGCCCTCTTTTGGGAGCAATGGAGTGTGTAGAGGACTGTTAATTCAAGATTCTGGAGTAGAGTGGAAAAAAAGAGAACCTGAGAATTACAGTTTTGTGTGTAGCCCACAGCTAAAGCAGAGACTGGCAGAGTAAAGATGTAGAGTAAGGAAGGAAGCTAAAGTTCAGAGGAAATGAGAAGAACTTCAGTGGAAGCACAGGGTCTCTACAGAGCTCATTGGTGCTCAGAAGGCCACTGAGTTCCCAGTAATGATACCTCAAAGCAAGAACAGATATGAAATAATCACTGAGAGTTATTCAGATGCCCTTTTTGTTTTTCTTCTATTTGATTGGTTCTGAACACAAACCTGGCTTTGAGTTTGTAAACCTTTCTGTAAAATTTAAGAGCTTTTTCTATGGCAGATCATCTTCAGAGCTCTAACCAGATCAAGGTCCTACCTCATCCTTCAGTAATAAAACTATGACCTGTTTGATGTATATCAAAACCAAGAAGACTTTAAAATTGTAACTTTTGTTGTACAGTTTGTCAGCAATTGGTGGATGATAACAGAAATCCACAAAACTTCCATTTTTTAAAGTTACTTCTGTTCTTAAAAGGGAGATGAGCTTCTAGCAGAGATGTAATTTCTCAGAATGGCCACTGGAAACCGTATTTCTCACTTTTCCTCCTTGTTTTAAATTATTCTGTAGTGATGACTAAGAGGAAAGGGAATTTGAGAGTATTTACAAACTCTTTGCAAAATTCTTGTTCATTCTTTTCTTCCCCCAGCTTTCTTCTTAACACTGTTATGTCTAGTCATAAAATCTACAGCTACTTCATGACATTAAATATCTACAGTGAGGTTTTTTTGGGTCTGTTTCAGTTTTGTATGTCTGCACTTTAGGATGGCTCAATAGCTTCTACACTTTTTATTTTCTTGAATTTTTACTGGTTTCTGGGGAAAAAATCACAACTTCTGTGTTATAACTTTAGGTAGGCAACAGTGTTATATATCTCATTCACCTCCAGCATTACATAACCCTCCTTGAGAAAAATTGATGGTGGGGTGATGAGCAGCAGAGCTGAGTGAATGGTTACTGAAAACACAGTAGAAGTTGCCTCAGGGGATTTTTCTTCTTTACTGACATTCTTAGAGACATTTTAGAGTGTTTACATTACTTTTGTGTATAATCTATTTTTACTGCAGTTTGTCTATAACAATTTTAGATGAATTTAACTTAAGGAGGCCTAAGAACCTCTTCTGAAAACATGTTAGTGCCCCTATATTTTTTCACGTGAGTAGACTTGTTACAGGTTCCGTTATTGTTAGATTTATCCTGTATATTATCCTGTATAAACCTGGCCAAGTCTATCAAAACACATCAATTTTGCAAGCATGTAAGCATTTCTCATTTGCAGTTTTTTGCAACGGAGGAAATGAAATATGATCACAGTTGCACTATATATGAAAAAGCAGTCATAATGATGCCTGTTCTATACTGAGGTGAAAAGTTACAGAGTCACAGAACTGCAGCTATCCTTATTTTTAGGCCTTTGTAATTCAGATTTGAAGAATTTGCTGCTTGGTGCTTGTGTTTAATCCCAGCAATAAATGCAGTATTTTGATTTGGGAAGTTGCCTTGACAGAGGAATGTGTGAACAATAGAATTGTTTTTAATTTTACGTTTGCTGTCTGTTGCAGGGGTAAGGGCGACTACTTCAGGCTAGGCCATGGCACAGATGTACATGTACGAAAGCCACAAGTTGTGGAAGGACTGAGGGGTAAAAAGATTGTGCACGTGGCTGTAGGTGCACTTCATTGTCTAGCAGTTACTGACACTGGGCAGGTACGTTGTGCATCACCCTGCATTCCCCTTTTCCTTGATCCAGAAGGGAGTAAACTAAACTGTTGAGGACGAAGAATGTAATGGCATCAGCAGTGATTAAATGGAATAAACACTTCTATTGAAATGCTTTTTAAAGTCCTGAATAAATATAAGCATTATTGTGATTTAAAATGTATTAACTTTCATACTATTATTGGAGTTTAAATGTTGATGTCATAGTAGCTTTTGTAGTATTTTCCTAGCTTCATAATCCATTTACTGTTTCTCACTCTTGAAATGCAGAAGCAGTCATGGTATTATGAACAGACATTTCTACTGGGATCCAACATTATTGTCACAGTATTGATTCAGATCCCCAGTGTAATTACTGTGCAGTTAATTTTTCTAACTTACTGTTCACTGTGAGCATTGAATGATTTGTGAATCAACAGATGATTTATGAATTTGCAATAATTTATGAATCATCTGATAAAGTGCTGCTTTGATTTATTTTTTTGTCTTTTAGGGTACATTAAAGCCTATATAATTTAACAGGAAAAAAAAAATTGTAGCAATAGGTTTTCTGAAGTGTCTTAATAATACAAATCACTAAGATTATTTCATGAGAATTTAAAAAAAATACATTAAATGAGGCAACCAGTGAAGCAAAGTAATATGTGGAAATGTTTACTGGCAGGTTTACGCTTGGGGTGACAATGACCACGGGCAACAAGGCAACGGAACTACTACAGTCAATAGAAAGCCCACTCTTGTTCAGGGCTTGGAAGGCCAGAAAATCACTCGAGTTGCTTGTGGGTCTTCTCACAGTGTAGCATGGACAACAGTGGATGTAGCTACACCAGCTGTTCATGAACCAGTACTTTTCCAGACAGCGAGGGACCCTTTAGGTGCCTCTTATCTTGGTTGGTATTTATTGCCTTATGATGGTTTTGGATTTTTTTCAATGCCTTTGGAGAGTCAGTTGTGTGTGTGGTTTAATAGGTGGTAGAAGAATGCAAAAAGAAAACTGTCTTTCAAAAGAACACCAGAAAGCAAAAACAAAACCATACACATTTAAAAAAACAAAAACAAACAAACAAACAAAACAAAAAAAAAAAAACAAAAACAAAACAAAAAATTAAAAACAAAACAAAACAAAACAAAACAAAAAAAAACCAAAAAAAAACAACCAAGAAATTGTCTTCCTGGAAGTGGAGGTTATAATGGACTTGTTCAAAAGTATCATTAGTTCGAACTTTTATTGTTCTTCAGGAAATTAAAATGCAGCATGCTTTATAAATGTCCCAAAGACTTTGTCTTTAATATGGGATAGACCTTTATGGAACTAATGATAAATGGATGCTACTGTTATATTGGTCTTATGTGTTATCTCTTGGTATAGTTTCTTGATGCTACTGTTACCTTTTGTTTCTAAGGTAGGTGACTTAAAAATTAGAGAGGCAAAACAGCAATGTTTTGTGTTGAATATAAAAGCAGCAAGCATTTTGCTAATTAAGCTTTTTAAACAAGTCAAAATATTTCAAGAAGAGCAAGAGCTACATATGCAGATTATTTCATTAGTATTTTAAGAGTACCTAATAAATATTCTTGTTATTTGAGAAATTTCTATGTAAGTAAAACTTGTTTTACATGTTTATCACCAAAATATTTATGTCATCATGAGTAAGTAACAAGGTGGAACACTATTTTGTGGAAGCTCTTGCTGCAAAGCCTCAGTATTGACTTGGATGTTATAACTGTAGGCACGGTGGTTTGAGAATCTACTGTAGAGTTAGTTTTACAGTCATGTTTCTGACTTGACGTGAAATCAGGTAAATCTGTTCTAGGTGTGTTACACCATTAAACAATGGTCACCTTCTCTTTTTTGCTCACTCACTCCAGGTGTCCCTTCAGATGCAGATTCTTCTGCTGCCAGTAACAAAATCAGCGGGGTGAACAGTTCCAAGCCACATCGCCCTTCCCTTGCAAAGATCCTCCTCTCACTTGATGGGAATCTTGCCAAGCAGCAAGCATTGTCCCACATACTGATGGCATTACAAATCATGTATGCCAGGTAGGTGTGCAAACATTCTTGTCTTCTGCAGAAGATGGCATAGCTTAACCATCTGTTAGGGTCTCTTGAGTCAGATATAAATTATTTTACAAGGATAGGCCTAAGCTTTGTTTAAATTTCCTTTTGATGTTGATATTAGGTTTATGCTGTTATGTTTTCTTTACAGAAGCTCCCAGTGCCTGGGGGGAAAAAAAAAAAGAAAAAGCTTATTTAGGAATGCTCAAATAAATCATGTGAAAGGAGTGCAAGTGAATTGTGATAGATGATGGGGGGGAAGCAGTGAGGGGCAGGATGGAAAGAATGATAAAATTCTAGAGTGCCCTCCTTGTTGTGAGAGTACAGTATTTGTGCTAAAGTTTGTGAAGGGGGAATCACATAAAATAGTGGTCTTAAAACACAATATATAAGCATCAGGCCCAAAGGAGAATGGAGATAACTACTCTCTAAATTCCAGAGCTTGGAAATTTTCCCTTCTTTTATGAAGACTAGCTAATTTTTTTTTTTTTCCTAAGTTCAACAAAGGAATATAATGAGGTTTATGTTAATCTGTCCTAAATGATTTCAGGGATGCAGTTGTTGGAGCACTGATGCCTGCAAGTATGATTGCACCAGTAGAATGTCCCTCTTCATCGCCAGCCCCACCATCAGATGCTACTTCCACAGGAAGCCCTGCAAATGGAGATGAATGCATGCTTGTAGGAGATATAGAGGAGAGGCTGAGCCCAAACCCGTGGCAGGACAGGAGAGGAGAGGTAAAGTGTCAGATGAATTTTTCCATCAGTGTTTAACAGTAAAGCTGAAAAATACTGTCACATTTAGTTTAATAGTAGCAGAGATTAAGCAGTTCTTTCGTGCCTTGATTTCAGGAGTGGGTACTCTGCATATGTCAGATTTGGAAAATATGACATTTTAGTTTGAAATAAATTTTGAATTTTCAGAATGCACTGTTATTTAAAGGCAATTGGAATGATTTCTAGTAGCATTTTGGAGTTAACATGAAAATGTTAACCATTTGATCAGACATTAAGTTCATTTTACAGGAATGATCTCTTAAAAAAAAAAAAAAAAAGACACAAAAAAGTCAAGACTAAAGGAACATTTGACAATTGTTTAATGAAATGTAATTGTAAAGTTTTATCAGCTACTGTAGACAGGAGGGCCTGAATGGAATTCTACTCTGTTGATTCCCAATTGCTAACAGAAGCAGAAAAAAGAAAAGGCTTGCTACTGAAGAGATCTTCTCCTGTAGAAAACTATTAATTTGACATGTATTGCCATGGTTCGTCTTATACGTTGTAGACTTCTATGCAGACACTGGCATTCTATTGTATGTTTTTGTAGCATCTGGGATTGGGGAGGATGTTGGGTGGTTTGCTGTGCTAGGAATATAAAATAGAAGCTAAAAATACAGGGAGTTAATTTGTTGATTTTGAATTTATGGCTGTTTATAAATTGCTGCAGTCTTTGAACATAAACTGTTTTAATAAAAAATCAGTCTCTTAAAGGTTTGTTGCAGCTTTTGTTAATTCTTGCTTGTTTTGGCTAGGTCGTTTCTTCAGAAGATGCTGTGACACCTTCTGCTGTAACTCCCTCAGCTGCTGCTGCCTCTTCCCGTCCTTTCATTCCTGTCACAGATGATCCTGGAGCTGCCAGTATCATTGCAGAAACCATGACAAAAACCAAAGAAGTAATGTTGTCAATACTTTCTTTAAAATTGTGTCCTTACCATGCTTTTCTCAAACAGTTTTGATTTTTTTTTGTCCTGTTATTTTACAAATGACTGCGTTTTTGCAATCTATCCAGAGATAAAGGGGTGTTGTGGTTTTGGTGGTTTTGGTTTTTTTTTTTCAGTCTGAGTTTTAGAAAAGCTTTTGCATTTGAGAAATGGGTTTAACATCAAGTTAATTTGGGGGCAATATAATCCTAGATTTATTAATTTTGTTTTAAACTACCTTTCAACTTCTTCAGCTAGGTTAACTGGTTTGGATTCAGTGAAAAAATTCTTCATCTTCACTGTCTAAATATTTCTGCAATTTGTTTTGTAGGATGTAGAAAGTCAAAATAAAGTGTCTGGCCCAGAACCACAGTACCTGGATGAGTTTACCAGTCTCTTAGTACCAGATGACACCCGAGTCATGGTTGACCTGCTCAAGCTTGCTGTGTCCAACCGAGCAGGTGACAAGGGAAGAGATGTTCTTTCAGCTGTGCTGTCTGGAATGGGCACAGCTTACCCACAGGTCAGGTTTTGTTTCTGTTGCAGTTTCACTACGTCCTTTTATTAGTAGTTTACTAGGATATTTTCTTGTAGTTGAAGTGCAGTTCAGTGTACTCAGAAATGTACTAAACATGAAAGTTGGAGTTGAACTTAAATACATTAACAATTACCTTAACAATTAAACCTTAAAATGAACCTTAACAATTTTAATGGAAATACTACATGAATATATGCATGTACTACAAATCTCAGTAATAGACTATTTCCTTGATTTGTCATGCTGCAGTTAGATATTACAACAGGAGCTTAATTAACTGTATTTATGTGTTGGACAAGTAGCTCTGATTGTTGGAATGAAGGTGAATTAACCAAGCCACATTGCCTGGATCTGTGGAATGTTAGTTTAAAAACTTCTATGTTGTGTTCTTTTTTTTCTGCATCTGAGTTTCTTTCCCACATTGATACAGGCATTATTGCTAGATAAAAATGCTGATAATATATTGTTCATAATATAGTAATTCTTCTTAAGGTTTACATTTGATGCATAGAAATTTCTATTTACAAAGTATCCATGGGAGAGGGATTTTTGGGGACAACTGACAAACAGTTATCAGTGCTGTAATATTGGTTACCAGCATCTGTATGAAAGAATGTTAAAAACAGTAAAATATTTATATGGTTATAGTAATGAACTGAAAGTTTTTTTAATGTTTCTTGTAGCTTTACCTTTCAAAGATATTTTTCTGATGAGTAACAATACATTTAAGGTGTTTATAGGATGTAGTCAATTTATGGCTTTGCACTGCTTAAAGACTTGTTTGAAACACTAGAAGTGATTATGCAAAGCTGATTTTGTATTCTTTTGTTAAACTGGGCTTCACTACCCAAAAAGATGAATAATGACTTTGCTAAGGAGCATGCATTGGATTGAGAGAAGTTGTATTTACTTATTAATGGTATAAATGACAGAAGAGCTTCAGTTTTAAACAGCGAAATCTTAACGGTCTCTCTGTCCAAGTGAGCTAGGATTGTGGGAGACCCTGACTGATGCTATTCCTGTAGAGGCAGTTGAGTGATGTTTCTTAAACTCTTACTTTTGTTTTTTGTTTTTCCCTGTATTTTCAATGATCACTTATGTATACCCATGTTCTGGCTTTGAGAGGTAGTTGTTCCCATCCCAACCCCAGTTAGTGCATGCTGTATATGTACTTACACATTAATTTTATTTTTTGCTTCCAGCATTTATAGTGAGTAGCTGAAAACCTTTGTGTTTGTGGGTGGTTTTTGTGGGTTTTCTTTGTTGTGTTTTTGTGTGGTGTTTTTTTTTAACCTTGAAAGTGAGTATTTTTATTTGAAACTCCTCTTTAAAAATTAGTACTATCAGAATTTTGTCTAAACTGTTTTTCAAGGTAACATACTTCTAAAATATTTACGCCTTTCACTGGTCTCTTGGCCTATGCTTTGCAGTTTAGATTTTACAGTTTGGTTTTTTTCTGTATGGGAAAAAAAAATTATTTGTGTTGTCATTTACTTACTGGAAACTTACTGTGTTTGGCTTCTACTTTTAGGAGGTTATTAACAACACCAAAGAGAGTATTTTTGAACTAATATATTGGTTTATGAATCAGAATTCAGAAAACATGGTTCATTTATTTTAGATTTGCAAAAAATGGTAGTTGGCTTAGATTTCTTGGACTAAACAAACTTACTTTTCATAAAGTGTGTGCTTCTCTTTTCTTAGGTTGCTGATATGTTGTTGGAGCTGTGTGTTACTGAGCTAGAAGATGTAGCAACTGATTCACAAAGTGGTCGCCTCTCTTCGCAGCCAGTGGTGGTTGAAAGCAGCCATCCCTACACTGATGATACATCTTCTAGTGGCACAGTTAAAATACCAGGTACAGAAATCTTAGAGCTGACATGACTAAAATTCATTTCAAGCCTGCATGCATAAGATTTTTCCGTAGCTTACAAATGTTTGGAATGTTCTGAATGTAGTCTTCTGTCTGCTAGCTGCTGCTCACATGAGCTTGCTATGATGTAAGCCTTTCAAAGAGAAGAAATTACAGACAAATCATGTCATTAAAGCAAAGGAAGTTGTTTTTATTAATGAGTGCTGCATTTTCCAAACAACTCTCTTTGATTTCATGTGGGTTTCTAAAATACTGCATTTATTCATGGTATTTGCAACTCTTTGCTGCTGTTTAGGTGCTGAGGGACTGAGGGTGGAATTTGATCGCCAGTGTTCTACCGAGCGGCGTCATGATCCTCTCACCATAATGGATGGTGTCAACAGAATTGTTTCCGTTCGATCAGGTTATGAGAACTAGTGCTTCTCAAACATATCTTGTGTGGTTTACTGTTAAATGCTGAATGAAATTTGTCACTGTCTGTGACTGACTAATTGTGAGGAAAAAGAGGAAAACTTGTGTAAATCCATGTTCTGTTTTAAACTGAAAAATATGCAGGCTCTACACACAGACATGTAAGAGCGATCTCAGATGTTTGATTACAGAGAATCTCCTGGAAGAGCATGTTGTCCTGCTCTTCCTAAGAGCAGTTAGAATGTAAATAATCAGTGTTTAACAACTCTGCCAACATGTGTGAATTTCTCTACAGTCAAAATGTATTTTAACGAATTGGAACACAACTGGAAAATATTTCTTCTTTTGCTAGCTATTTTTCAAGTCATACTTACAGAAGTTTGAGCTTTCATACAATCAAGACAAACGGTCTTCTGCTGTCAAATGCCCATAAGAGTAGCTAGGCTCTTTGTTCTACTCTTGCCTATGTACGTGGCACTACATGAAATCTTTCACATCTTTTATCCTGTTGTCTCCGAGTTAATTTTTAAGCACTTTTAATCTGCAGTAGACTGTAGAGGAATATTTTTAATCTTATCAAAGTTTACATTGGACCTACCCCTACATTACATTATGTGCAAGGGTCTTGGTAGTTACTACCTGTGCTTAATATTTCTGAGCATTCGTGATGTAGGATGCACATGTGTTTCATTCCTGAGATATTTCTGATTGGATTTCTCATTAAAGCTGTAAAGTTTTATGTATATGTTGTAATACATTTTTGCAATATGAAGAGATAATTTGAAATTGGGACAACAGATTTTAGTAAGATCTCATCATTGTCTTGTGAATGTTTTACTAAAAATACTGAGGGTATCTGTTAGCAGTGCTAATTGAACTGTTTTGTTAATGTAACATCTGTGTAGTTATGTAGTTCATGTGCTTTACATAGCTTTTTTTTCTTGAATACGTACGTATATGTGATGTTTGTGATGTATAACCATTGGAGGGAAGCTGCTGCTGATGAGTGGCTTGTATATTGGCTCACACTGTATAGGTGAATATCTTCATGTTCCCTCCTGTGACAGGTCGTGAGTGGTCAGACTGGTCTAGTGAGTTGCGAATCCCAGGGGATGAACTGAAGTGGAAGTTCATCAGTGATGGCTCTGTGAATGGATGGGGATGGAGATTCACTGTGTACCCTATCATGCCAGCTGCAGGTAAGGCACCGTATATCATGGTCATAGAAGGACAAGAAAGTAGATTTGCTGGTCTGGTTTTTACAGTTGCATTTATTGCATGATAAATGCCAAAGTTCAATAGTTCATTTACATTCATACTAAGAAAACATTTTCATTCATGCTTAGGAAAGATTTTAACAAAGGCCTGAGTGGTGCACTTACACATAGGGAAGAGGTAAAAATATTTTATAAATGTTCTGGTTGGCCTTTTCATCAGTAAAGAGAGAATATTTTAGAGGCACAATTCATGTGGGGAAAAAAAACAAAACAAAACAAAACTGTTTTGGAATTGTATTGTGTCATGAAAATGCCTTTTTCTTTCACTCCCTTCAAAGGGAGGTGGAATGGACTGATTCAGATGCAGGCTGGCATTCTAGACTGTTATGTTTGCTCAGCTAAATCGTGCCTATATTCTGTTCTTATTTCAGTCTGAGGATGAATATTCCCCACCTTTTTCTTGTGGTGCTCTTGCTTTTTGTTTCTTGCAGGCCCTAAAGACCTCCTCTCAGATCGTTGCATTCTTTCATGTCCCTCAATGGATTTGGTTACGTGTTTGCTGGATTTTCGCCTAAACTTTGCTTCCAACAGGAGTATCGTTCCTCGCTTGGCAGCTTCTCTTGCAGCTTGTGCTCAGCTGAGTGCCTTAGGTAGGTGTAGTCTTAACGGGAAGTCGATTTGCTGAAGTTAAAATGATTGCTTTAAGTAATTATGTTCCTTGTGTGCTTGTGTTTCCTTAGCTGCTGGCCACAGAATGTGGGCCCTGCAGAGACTACGGAAGCTGCTCACCACAGAGTTTGGCCAGTCCATAAACATCAACCGGATTCTCGGGGACAACGATGGAGAAACGCGAGCTTTGGTAAGGGCAGGGGGGCTCTCCTCGGCACTTCGCTGCACTCTAAGTGTTAAAATGCTAGCCCTGCTCTTCAGCAGTTTTATTGTTAATGGCAAAATAGGAAATGTGGAAATGAATAGCCTTGCATGGTTCTGCAGGTCTGTAAAGGCACTCCATTTTAGGAGAAAAGTACTAATTCCAGTACTGTACAGATGTGGTTTTGGCCTTGCCAAAAAGTGATAGGAATACTTCCGTATCAGGAAGTGGATGGAAATTATACTTCGCATAGCTAACTGTTGTTGGGGAAGTTATTAATGTTTTGTCATGGTCATCTAAATAATGTACTTTTTGTAATACATACAGAAGGACTAACTGCCTAGTTCTGTGGTTTCTCTATAGAGCTTCACAGGGAGTGCTTTAGCTGCTTTGGTTAAAGGTCTTCCAGAAGCTTTGCAGCGACAGTTTGACTATGAAGACCCCATTGTGAGAGGTGGCAAACAGTTGCTCCACAGCCCTTTCTTTAAGGTAATTGAGAGTACCATCAGTAAAGAATTAGTATAATTCTGGATTTTTTTGTGAGACATGGTAAGCTCACCTATTCCTATATGAGATATGTTTTCTGACAAAATCAGAATACTACCTTCTGAAAAGAGAATCAGATATACAAATAAAGAATAAGGTGTACCTAGCTAGGCAGAGGTAGGTAAGTCAGAAAACCATCTGGAAAGTACAGTAGACTGCACTTCTTGATAAGTGATTTCTGAGTTGTCCTGATAGGAGTGTTGTATTTAGTTAAATACACTGAAGGCTTTATGTACATCTAGTTGGAACAAATAAGACTATCTTAAAAGTAAGCCTGGATAGCTTTGGACCCCATACTTCAAAGTAAAAAAGCTGAGGAAATCTAGAGAAGACCAACAAGAATACAATGCTGAATATAATCTGCCATATAGTGAAAGTTAAACTAAGAAGACTTACCTATCTTAATGAAAAGAAATTCTTAAAATATGTAAAAGTTTATATAGGGAAGAGGTAATCCGTTGGTCACAGTCTTCATTAGTAACATTGATTTGAAATTGAATCAAACTGAAAATGAATGAAAAATTGATTTAATTGTAGGAAGGATAGTTGATTTAGAAGTGAAAAAGTTCAGCACATGGTATTTGATATAGAAAAATCAATTAATCTAGGAGTGTTTTCCACGGGGAGTTTGTGAAAATTTCTGGATTCAGAAAGGAAATTAGATACACGACCATGTGAGGTAGTGTGGCTACCCTTGGTGCTGCCCCATCGTGAGGGTAATCCAGGTGGCTCTCAATGTCCCTTGCAGTTTGCTCCTCTTTGAGGTGATGTTCAGCCTTACTGGTCTGTGAGCTGATCAACTACATCACACGTGCTTCACTTTTTATTACACATTGTTGATAAGCTCTAAAATAGTTTTTGATTGTCTGCAGGTGCTTGTGGCTCTTGCTTGTGATCTGGAGTTGGACACCCTCCCCTGCTGTGCAGAGACACACAAATGGGCCTGGTTCAGGAGATACTGTATGGCATCCAGGGTGGCCGTGGCCCTTGATAAAAGGACACCACTACCTCGTCTTTTCCTTGATGAGGTACTGCATTAATATTTTAAATGCTTCATGGAACATCTGAAAGTGTTTGGCTTAAGAAGTTACACTGAGTTTTAAGTGTTTTATGCCAACTGTGCTGGAAGTAACTAGTAGTTTGAATAATGTTGTTTCATCAAAAATGTTTTACAGGTGGCAAAGAAGATACGAGAATTAATGGCAGATAATGAGAATATGGATGTTCTTCATGAGTGCCATGACGTCTTTAAGAGAGAACAGGATGAGCAGCTTGTCCAGTGGATGAATAGGTTATTTTTTTCAAGTCTCATTGGTTTGGTCTTATGCTGCTTGGTTGTTGTACACTGATAAACTGTATTTTTTTGGGTGACTTTTAAAAGCTTTTTAAAATTTTGTTTGTTTTGCATTTTCTGCAGACGACCTGATGATTGGACACTTTCAGCTGGAGGCAGTGGAACTATTTATGGTTGGGGTCATAATCACAGGGGACAACTTGGTGGAATTGAAGGGGCAAAAGTCAAAGTCCCAACTCCTTGTGAAGCTCTTGCTACCCTTAGACCAGTGCAGTTAATTGGTGGTGAACAGACTCTGTTTGCAGTGACTGCTGATGGAAAAGTAAGGACGCAACAAGTGATCATTTGTTAGACTCCACTGAAATATTTTATCCTCAGTCAGAATGGGTTTGGGTAAATGAAAAACAATGTGCATAGTACAGATTTATTATTTTTATTATTGTTAGTTTTTTTTTTTTTTAAGAAACTGAGCTATACCACCTCCACCTGTGCAATCTGGGAATTCAGTGTACTATAGCATTAAATGCATGGAACGTGACGTATTCTGGTTCTCGATTCAAAGCTGTGATCAGATTTGGGAAAACAAATCTGAGTGCAAGTGATGTGCTCACAGAGTCCCATAAAATAGGACAGACAGTAAAATGTGATGGTGATTATGCCTCTCTGACAGGGGAGAGGTGTAATTGGAACCTGATGTTGTTCATGGTTGGCTAAATGCCTCTAAGTTAGATATTGCAGGCTCTAATTTGCAGATGCTTAAATCTTGAGTGAAAAGGAACACCACGTTTGGATGTTTGGTGCAAGGTATAGGTGAAGAAATAAGTTCATTAATTTGAAAAAGTATTTTGATACAGATGGCAGTTTCTTTTAAGGATGGGATTCAAAATTTTAGCTAGAGCTTTGTGTGACAGTTATGTTAATCTAGTGAGATACTGTAATGATTCCTCGGAAATCAGTATCATCCTTGTTCATGATTCACAGAAGGTAAGGGATAGATTAATGTTACTGCTTGACATCGTTCCTTTGAGATAAATTACTTTCAGATAGAGAAAAAGAGAGTGAAAAGCAGTATTTAGAACTGTATTCATGGGATGGAAGGGGAAGAAGCAATTGTGTTTAGGTATGCGTATTCCACAGGAGAAATAAAATAAAATAGTGCTGCTTGAAAGACCCTACAGGTGGTAGACAATTTTGTAATGTTACCACGCAAAACTATAGTTTCTTGATACTTCTAGGAAATCAGCCTTAGGATTTACAGTTAAATCCATTTTCAGTGACAGTACATATGGACTTGAATGTAGCCATATTTTTCATAAACTTCTTGTGAAATATTTTAAAGAGTTACAAAAAAGTGTATAGAGACATGTAAGAAACTTGTTTTTCAGGCTTTCCTTTAACTGTGTTTTATTATGCATTCATTAAGAGTTCCACTCTACAGCTCTAGTGAATGTTCTTCAAGAAGCAAACAAAATTAACTTTTATTCTTCACTTTAAAGCTGTATGCCACTGGATATGGAGCAGGTGGTAGACTTGGAATTGGAGGAACAGAGTCAGTTTCTACTCCAACACTACTGGAATCCATTCAACATGTGTTTATAAAGAAAGTTGCAGTGAACTCAGGAGGAAAGCACTGTTTGGCATTGTCTTCTGAGGGAGAAGTTTATTCTTGGGGTGAAGCAGAAGATGGTAAACTTGGTCATGGAAACAGAAGGTAACAGTTAGAAATGTTATTTTTAAAAATTCTGAATGGATACTTACAGTTGCTACATATTTGTAGTGTTGTATGAGTGATCCAAGGGCTGGAGCAGCTCT